GATGTTGCGTGTGTGGAGGAGAGTCAGAGTACGAATCAATAAGGCGTTGGCTTTTCATGTGCGGTGGCCCGCGTCCAAAGGTGTCCTAAGCTTGCGTCTCATCACGGCGGCGGGGCAGCGTGGGCGCACTCGGGTAAAGGGGAAGGGATGGTTGCGTGTGTGTGTGTGTGTGTGTAGTAAAGCAGAAAACAAAAAAAAAGCAGGTGCTCTTGCACGGACATGTTGACACCAGAATAAGTCAAGATTCCCGGGAAACGCACAAACGCAATTTTCCCGCAGAGCACACAGCAACAACAACAAATAACAAGCTAGTAGCCCAAAGAATGAGTTCATCGCATAAACTTTCGGCGCCACCAGGACGGGGATGTCCCGCGAACAAACTGAAGAAATGTGGTGCTGTCCTCAAACAGCCCCGTGTCACGTCCGAGCTCCCCGATCAGTGCTACCGGTAGGTCCGTCTCCAGCTGCACGGAGACCATTGGGTTGCCACCAAGCGAGAAGGGCAGCAAGGGGGCAATGCTACGCATGCTTCCGCTGACATAAGGCTCTGACAAGATGGGGGTCACAATAAGATCCACGTCACGAAACTGTTCTGATGTGGCGCGGGCCACATTTTCGCGGGTTCGCAGGGCTCGTTGGTAATCAAGGCTTGTTAGCGCCCTACCGTTGAAGATGGCTGGTACCAATTCGTCCGGAAGCTCATCCAGTAGCCCGGACTGCGACATTGTGTCGAAGCGCGAAGATGACGTCCTGCCGCCACCATGACCTGGTGGGGTGAAGAGACCGTCAATCGCCCTTGAGAGTTCATAGAGAGAAATTGTTTGAATGGCCTTGACCACCACCTCGAGGTCAATGTCCAGGCTCAGTGGTATGACCTCCAGCAGCTCGTTCTTGCGCATTGCATTTTGAGTCGTTACAAGACGGAGAATACGACGGCGAAACTCATCGGCTGACAACAATCGTTCTTGACAGAGTTGGTCAATCCAATCGGCTGGGTAGCCAACTGACAGTTCAGTATGACGGCCCCAAAGCTCCTTCGGCGAGCCTGACGTGCTGATTTTATCAAGGCCGGTGTAGTTTGAGCGACTCAAGGGTCTAGCACCGCCCCCGGAATCATCACCGCTACCGTTATGGCTACTACTAATATTGGCGTTGGTGTTACTGATGCTGCTGCTGTTGACACTAGTGGTGTTACTGTCCTGTTCTGTTTCGGTGTTGTCACCACTTCTTTTGTTGCCGCCGCCGCTGGTTTCCCGTCGATTATTCTCGTCAAGAAAGTAACTTGGCTGAATAGCAGAGGTAAATACTTCCCAGAGATAGAAGATGTCATCGAGGCGAGCCGCGGTTATACCAATAGACATGGAAGGAATACCCAATCGGTATCCATCTGTAAACATGGCAAAAGACTGTGCTGTGGGCTTAAATGCCGCGACATCGTAGTGTGCCGGTGAACTCAAAGCCGCTGGCCCCATGAGTGCGGATCCAATGGCATAGTTGCATGCATTCAGATGCACCGCCGCAGCCCCAGGGTGCTCCGGCGCAAACACACTTTCCTCGCCAATCGTCAGCGGCGTCTGACAGGCTAACTTCCCAATGAACTGAGCTCCGCAGCGGCGCAGCCAAGAGACAAAGGCAAATTCCGTGTGTGGCATCTGGTGAAGCAGCTGTGACTCAACCCCGTAGCGCGTACGAAATTCCAGCACATCAAGCGCATCCGAAACGCCAATGGCGATACCACTTAGCATGCCGTCAGGGAATAGACTCTGCTTAAGGTCCATCTCACCTGCCACCTCAACGAAGCACAACGGCGGTGGCTTCATCTGCTTCGCCTTTGCCGAGGCCCGCCCCCGCCCCGTGAGAGTCTCGGCACGCCGCCGCATCTCTTCCACAATCCGCCGCTGCTCCGCAGTTTTGTTGTGCAGGCGACTCATTGTCTTTCGAACACCCAAGTCCCTCAGCATCTCTCCTTGCGTCGCGTTTAGCCTAAAGTACCGCAGTCACCACCACCACGTGTCGTTCTCCTCAGCTGAGACTGCCGCAGCTTCGCTTCAAATGGATGTAACTTCGAATGGTTCCGTTCCCCTCCACACGGAAGGCTTTCCACCCCCCTGCTCCGTCCCGGCCTCCTTCCAAGAGACCGAGGGTGGGCATTAAGGGATGAAAGAAAAACAAAATAAACGAAGAGGACCGCGAGTAATGAGGATTCACGCAAAGGAAAAAAGGGGTTCATTGGCGCCCCCTTCAATGGCCCTGCCATCACAACACTTTCGCAAACATGTACGTATACATACATACCTGTGCACCAATGAAAGGTGCGCGTCAACGTTCATACAATGCGGGCGCGCATGCGCACCCCCAAAGACAAGTGCAGAAGGAAAAACAAAAGTACAGATTTTTAAAAAAGAAGAATGGAAAAATGGGTGGCACACACACACACAAACGAAAAAAAAAAAAAAAATAAGAAAAATAGAAAAAAAAGACAAACAAAAAAACTAGACCAAACTTGCTAAAGGCCCTGTTTTCTTTATTCCTTCACTCTGTTCTTCCTTCTCCTTCTCTATCCCTCTCTCTCTCCCTCCCTCTATTCCTCCATTTTACCACTGAGGGCACCAACGACACCAGCGATGCGGGTACGCCGGAGTCCCCAACAGGTTCTCCTGGTTTATGGCAGCTCGAATGAGTTGTTGTACTCTGCCTTCAATCGTCTCCACCACCTCGGCGTGGCGCTGCCCCTCCACATCCACACCTGCCCCTTTCAGCAGTGGCGTAGACGCCTCCACGGTGTTCGCAAGCAAAGTTGTTGAATCCAATGTGCTGCTGTCACCGTGGTAAAGCTGAATAAGATCATCGGAGCGCCCCAATTGGAAGCCAGCAAAATCCATGCTGGCTGGCTCCGCAATCATGGGAAACCGATCATCCATAAGCTTTACAAGGATGGAGGCAGCATCAAAGAGTCGCGGTAGTGAAGGAAGGTGATGCAGAGCCGTTGTCCGCGACCCCCAAGTGCAAAACGTCGTTGTGTTCATTGCGGGGGACATTTTTTGCGCAAATTTCGCCGCAGATACCGTTGTTGTTGACGTTTTTTTCATCATGGTGGCTGGGGCAAGAGCTTCTGACGCATTAGTTGACACAGCAGGCAGGCGTTTACGCTCTTCACGATGTGACTCCAATGGCGCAGTCTTTGCTACCGCGTCATGCACAACATCGCCGCCGAGTAGAGTGGCCTTCGTTTCTGACGTCTTTGCTGGACCCGGCACAACGTAAGTGTGATCTATCATGGTGGTTTTTGAGGCCGCCATCGGCGTCGCCTCCTCCACAGGAAGGCTTTTTTGCTCTTCGCCCAGCGAGGTCACCATGATAGATGCACTCATGGAAGCATCAGCAGGATGCAGCGCTGCGACTGAAACCATACATCGGCCACCTTCCCCGCCGGATACCTCTGGAAACACTGTCACACTGCCACTCCGTAGAGTTGCATTCATGTCCGAGCCTTCAGCCGGCGGGGGCTGCTGCAGCAACGCACCCCGCCACGCAAAGCATTTCATGTCTTGAAAGCCAAACTTTGCAATACCTGCAAGATCACGACTATAGCGCAGCGTGGCGTAAAGACACTGGGTGGCTCCACTAAGAAAGGCATTGTAAGGGCATTTTAACGGTAGTGATGCCACAAGGCATCCCGTGAGACGAAAAATGGTCGGATCTGTGCATGGGAAAGGTGATTGATTCGGCGCAGCCACCTCCACTTTGTCCCCTATCAAGTTACCCCCTCCTCCTGTGGAAACACTGGAAGGCGGTTGTGTCACCAAACTCCGTGGCAACGGCTGAAGGGCATGAGCGCCAAGATGAAGCGACGCCACATGCCCAGAGAGGAGATCAACAAAAAACGTGGTGCTCTCGCGATGTGTCGCATCAAACAGGTACTGTAGTATGCTCCACTCCGCCAGGTCCCTGGTGTATACGTGTACGGCATCTAACCACTGTGCAGCATCGATTGACATCGCCTGAAAGGAAAGACTTAGCAATTGGGCGTGCCGAGGCGCTTCTGCCCTAAGAAGAGCCAGTCGTAGTTTAGTTAGCGGCGCCGCGCAAAGCTGCATCGTCTTCCATCCCTTTGTACATGTGGACACGGTGGCTAAGCTGCGTCCGTCGCCCAAGTGATGATCGTCAGCCCCCGCATTAAGAGCAAAAAACTGAAACGCCCCCCGCTTCCCTTTCCCTGACCCTTTGGAAGTCTCCTCCATCTCGCGCAGGTGCTGCTGCAACGCCTCTCTCACACCCTCCAGCAGAGTCACCAACTGGGAGGCAGGTCGAGGATATTCCTCCTCGGAGAGCTTTTTCGAGGTCAAAACGCGGCGTATAAAACTAAACAACGGCCAAGGCCTGCCCTGATCAAACGCAAGCTCCACAAGACGTTCGTAGCGTGTGAGAAGTTCGCGTCGATTTCGACGCAATCGTGAGGCAGATCCCGCCCCAACACTATCCCGCATCCCGCCTTCTTGTACTGACAACGTGGGTGTGTCATCACTGTGAATGCCTTTGCACGCAGATTTCTCCTCATGTTCGCGTTCTGGTTGTCGTTGATGGTGATGCTCATAACGCCCTTCTGATGGAATTGAGCTCCTGTCCTGGCACCGGACATTGTACTCGGATATAATATGGAAGAGCGATGACGGTTGCTGCAACATGGAGCTGTTGCAGCTATACTGCAGCGATGGCGGTAGTGTCACCTGCCAACGGGAGAAAGAGGCAACACGGTCGGGTAACTGTGTGATGAACTCCTGAATGCCAACAGGTAGCACAAGCGGAGTCCGAACGTATCGCATGGGAAGACTTCCACAAAGACAATACACGGCACTTTCCATCGCGGCCAATGGGCGAATAAAGGCAGTGTGATCTACCAACTCTATAGGGGACGTTTTACCACCACACGTCGCCGTGCTGGCGGTAGCGGCAGTAGAAGTAGCACTAGCATTAGTATCCATTCTCCTTGGGTGAGTTTCACAACACTCTGCATGGAAGGATGAGCCCGAAACGGCTGACGCGGCCGTGTCCTCCGCCATTTCAATGCCGTGAAAACGCATCCCCGACCCATCTGAAAGAAAAAACAGAAAGACCTCCTCACGCCTGTGTTCAGACGACAAACAACAAATTTTTCTCCGTACATGCAGAACACGCAGTAACCCTTTACTGTGACCTCCTTGAATGGTGGTGCCAGAAGATGCAGTGGCGGCATTGGTGTTATCGTAATTCCTAGAGCCAAATTCACTCTCCACTTGCGTGTAACTGTCGGTCGTGTTGGGAAAACCCCGCATCGTCGATGACTGGCCCTTCTGTGGCTCCTGCTCTTTTGCATCAAGCTCCACCATGTGATGCCGAAGCAACCACGTAGGCATCGGAAAGGCGCACACGCCCAAGGCAAGCGACTTTTCTTTACCACTTCGCACAAACTCGCAAAGCTGCAAGGTTTGCGAAATAATCAACTTGTACTCTGGTCCATTTTCGGCTAGCTTGAAAAGCATGGCAGAGCGCCATTGCTGCTGTTGTTGATGATGATGATGATGATGATGATGATGTTGTTGTCTTTGCCGTTCCTGCTGCGGATGCGGCTGAGAGGAACGAATGTCACAAGGATGCCGACATGGGAGCTGAGGCAGCTGCTGGGGTTGTAGAGGTTCCTGGCTGTCGCTGGGTGAGTGCATCCGTCGCTCCCCCTGACGTCTGTTGGGGCTCCTTACCGGTGAGAGCAGCTCGTCGGCAGCTTCCGAACTTCGCAGTTGCCGCAGACCGAGTTTGGACTCGGCGGAGGCCACACCGAGACGGCATGGGGTAGTTCGTCTCATGGCATCATCCACTTCCACCTCCTCCGTGAGGTCTGTTGCTGGCGTGGCGGCCGTTCGTGCAGGCGGGGCCGAGGGAAGTGAACAAAGGCCGCTGCACGGGTACGCCTCGTCGTAGTGAAGCTCCTCCTCACGGCCGGCATCCTCCTCCAGTGCGAGGAGGGAAAGGTGGCGGTGCTCAAAGGTAGAGGCAAGATGAAACACACACTGGTAGAGCATCATACGGGACCGAGCGCACATCTCACGCACTGCGTCACGGAGTTTGTAGTGCCGCGCTGCGGCGTTCACAAGAATAGGCAAGACATAACCCCAGTGAAGAAACATGGCGGGGGAGAAGTCAAGGAGAGCAATGCCTGTGCCGCGGTCCCATGTCTCACCTCGCTCCGGTACCGCCGACACGGACGCAGCTCGGGCGATCTCATTGTCAAGGACGCCTGTCATGTTAATTTTTTTCTCCTCCATGCCCACGCCGTCCGTGCCAATCTCCTCCAACTTCAGTGCAAGGTGAAGCGCCTTCAGCAAAAGGTGCACCGCCGGTAGTACGGAGCGCGCGTGGCGAGAGCGCTGTGTGGAGACCGTGGTAAAGGGACCGATACCTGAAATGGAGGTAAAGGTCGCACTACTCCAAAACTGGACCGATTTCTGTAGCGCGCTAATGGCCTTTTCGGACTGAACGCAAAAGTTGCCAAGCGTCTCCGGTTCCCTTGTCATGTCCCACTCGGCGTAGATGGCCATGCACACATCAAATAAAAGCAGGCCAAACTCCCGCCACGCCGACGCCAACGTGATGGAGGAGCCAATAATGTGCTCCATAATGCGGTATTCACGCAGAAGGCCATAGGCGGGGTTATACTCATCCTCCTCCCCATCAAACAGGTTGGTATCACGCGAGGAAGCGGAGTTGAGGAATGCCCGCGACGTCATTCCAAGCTCCCCCAATGAGACTCCACGCATTTGTGGGCGTGACACAAGCTTGGGTGACGGTGCCAGTGAAATGTGTTGTCTTTGATGATGCACCGTCTTTAATTTGCGCTGACACTCAATATGAAGCAAAAGCAACTCCGCCTGTTTCTCTGTTATAGATCCCAATCCCAGAAAGGCATCGACTGATATCTCACCGGTGCCTAGTGCACGCATCGATTTCGGTGCATGCATGAACCCGCCGTGGCACATCAGCATCAATTCATCTGTAATTTCACTGTGCAAACCGGCCAAATCCCGTGTCCGAAATAAATGTTGCAGCTCAATACGATACTTCTCCAGCAATAAAGTGTCACGGTAGTTTTTCTCCTCTAGTGGACTCGTGTTATCGATAGGGAGAGAATAAAAGTGGCTAAGAGTGCTCACAGCCCGCTTAGGCATACCTTCCCGCACAATATGCTCAGAAAGCTCCAGAATGTTCCGCAGCTGCCAGTCGGGAGACACAAGCGTATTCCGTAGAGCAATAATCTCAAAACGCTGCAGCACAGTACTGTGGGCAGGAAGAGGCCGTCCAGCGATATTCTTCAAACGCCGCAAGATTGCCTCGGTATAGGCAACTTTTCCACGCCACCTACTCTGCTGCGGCTCCACACCCTCACTTCCTCCACCGCCGCCACTGCCAGCCGCAGTGGGGGGAAAATTATCCCTCCGGTTGTCAGCAGTCCCATCACCGCCGGCACTAGAGGCAGCACTAGCACCAACACATCCAGTAGCAGTGGTCAGGTTTGCCGTCGTCGCCGTCGTCGTAGGGTTGGTTGTTCCTGCGTGAGTAGGCATAGAAGGAGCCGGGCCTACGACTTTGCCTGTGGCGTCCCCAAGTGTCGTTTTCAGTTCAACCGCGTCTATACCCTCCTCCAGATCAGAGATCTGCTGAAACATGATGTTCAGCTCAACCCTCAGTCGAGCGTTCTCCGTATGAAAGACAGCGTATGAGTCTCGTAAAGCCGTCCGAAGGTCACTGAGTATGCCTTTTGCCTGTTCGTAATCCTTTGCCGCGGTAAGAGCAGCGGCACGGAATAGCTCCGTCTGCTTGTAAAATGGTGGGCATCCATAACTGCGAGAGCATCGGTCGCGCTCGTCCCGCGTATCGGCCAGAAAGCGATGGTAGTCAATCTCGTCCACAAGGTCCCAGCGAGAGAGAGCCTGCGCGGCAGACACAACGTACCTTGTAATGTAAGAAGAGATGGACCCTCCCGCGGTGGGCGCCCATGAAGTTACTAGCAGTATGCGCTGCAGCGCTTGCTGCTGCCGCTGCTCCGCTTCCGTCTGCGTTGAAGTACACCCCTCTTCGTCGGAAAATGGGACATATTTAATATTTTGCCACATCTTTATAATACTCTCAAAGTCATACACCCGCATGTAACAACGCATCGCACCAACCACGTCATTTAAAGACAGCTTCGGCCGCGGTAACTGCACGAAAGTCGTGCCGCCTCCACCAGAAGGAAGCATTCGCAGAGTCGCCCAAATAGAACGCAGGTACTGACGTAGTGCCACTTCAAACCACCCCAACTCAAGATAGATGGCGGGAGGCATACATTCCTCCGCATTCCTTTCCATACCCGACGCAAAACCAACAGCTGCAACAGAAAACGCATTCATCTCACTGTGGGTACCCTGCTGTGTTTCCCACGGTAACGTATCTGTAATGAAATCATAATTCTCCATGACGGGCGTGTCACCACAGTGGCTAATGTCTGCCTGACACTTATGTCTTCTGGCCTGCACCAACTGATGCGCTGCTCGACGAACAAGCGGATTTCGTGAGAACAATCGTGGAGCATTTTCGTATCTAACATCCCCCAGCGCCAGCATCAAACGCGCCAACGCCTCCCAGGAGAAACTGTCAGAAATTTGCTGCAGGGTGCACAACAACAAAAGTGGAGAATTGAGTGCACGCTCGGCAAGCACAGACACAAGATCCAATGTGATGTACTTCTGTTTAATGGTCCGTGCAAGAGGCATGGAAAAAAGCGAGGGGCTGTAGAGACGAATATGGTGTGCCAAACGTGCCAACTCGGCGGCAATGTTCTGTGGCAACTTGTCGTGCAAACGCACAAAGTCACATATAAGTCGCATCCACCGGAGCACGCCCCTTTCGTCGTACTTTGTGAGGTGCGAGAGGAAGGCGATGGGCATCAAATCTGAAGCAAAAATTGTAAAGTGTCGTCGCACAAGTGTGGAACAAATACTCACACACATATGATCACTACTTTCCACAAGCATTGTGCAGAAGAGCTCAAACCACGGTCGCCACTCGCTGCTGGAGAGATTCTCATGCTGCATAAAAAAGCGCTGCTCCTCCGTCACATAACTTCCCTCATCGTTGTCATCCTCATCGTTATCGCTATCATCCGCCGTAGTAGTCCCCTGCTCCTTGCTTTTCTCATCCCCTCCAATGGCCAAAGGACGTTCGTCCCCTGCACAAAATGCCCCCGTCATGTTATGGCTCGCGATGCTGTTGCTTCCGCTAGAAAAATTGTCAAGCTGACGCTGCCGCCCCCACTGCCTGTGGATCCCGCCAGTGCCGGAAACAGGAATAACCGAAACCACCGGAACGACGGCGGAGACGGGGTATGGAAAACCGCTGACGCCACACCCAAGCGAGGAGGCGACCCCGCACCCACTGCCGTGTCCCGACTCCGGTGTCATTTTTCTGGATAACAACATGCGTGTCGCACTCTCCACACCCGACATTAACGGCGTTGCCAACGATGACGACACAACCGGAGCTGAGGATACAGAGGAGGAGCGCGAGCTCTTTAACGGTGGCTTTTGCGCACGGATTGGAATAGGCGTGGAGTGTGGTGGCAGATCCTTCAGCGGCAGGGGGGAAGAGCAGCTGCCACACTCCAGGAGCGTTCTCGGCAACGTCGCCTCTGGAATCGGATCATCGGCACTCCCGCGGCTTGAAGAAAGAGGCACAGGCCGCCTGCCCCGCTCATGTTCCTTGTCTAACCGCACTTCTGGCAGTAGCGGAGGCGGCGGTCGCGGTGGCGCTGGTGCGGCCTGAGGTTTCTGGGCTCCCAACGGCAAAAGGGAGAGATGATATTGTGGGGCTGTGGCGGCATGAAAAAACTTCATCACTGGACTGCCCGTGTCAAATCGCTGCTGCAGGTATTCACCAATCATGAGTTCGTAGGAGACGGCGGGCAGATGGCATCGACCAGCCACAACCAACACACATGCCAGGAGTTCCAGTTCAACCGGCGACTCCCATGACGTAAGTGTATCCCGAAAGGGAAACGAATAGGAGCACTTATCCACGGCTTCCTTGTTTGTGGCCTTCGGCGTAATCAACAGACGTGCCAAGGAAGAACAGTTAAACCACATCGTCTGGTCCCCGCGTCTTCGTCGTAGCTCATATTCTAATGACATGCGTGTCATGGCAGACGTAACTGAAACCTTTCGGGCGTGCTGCCGCGAGCCTGAGCTTTGTCGCAGCCAATGCCAATCCTTTTCCTGTCGTTGAGCGTGTTGACTCGCCTGTGGTAGTTCCTTCTGCTGCGTCCCAGCAACAATTTGTAGCATTGCCTTGTGGGTCCGTGCATAATGCCAAAGCTGCAGCAAGACGCTCTCCAAAACCGCCGTCGCCTTGGTTGCCACGTCACAGTCGTCCAAAAATTCCACCAAAAACTGTGCAATGACGTGACTCACTTCGGTATCAAAAAATGTGGCACCAGTGGTGGAGGAAGAAGAGGAGGGAGAGAACTGTACACCGCACCCACTCGTGAGCTCCAGTGGGCCTGATGTGCTTGAGGGATTTGGTAAGAGCTGCGCAAGTGCCAGGCAGGCAGACTGTGTGGCAGACTGGTCTGCAATGTGAAGAAGAGAGTGAATCGCCTTCAGAACCTCACGTATCACGCTGGGAGAGGTGTGCATCCTCGTCGCAGAGACACGGGTGATGGTGGAGACCTCGCCCCGCTGCTGCTGCGGGTTGGCGGCTCTTGACGCCGGAGACATCTCCCCAACCAGCCGCATTAATTCACCTAGCAGCAGTGAAAGAAACCTTTCGCAGTGCTCATGTGCCAAATCCGGAACGGTATTGCAGAGTGCCATGAGTAGCTTGCAGCAGCTTGGCAGCGCGTGCCACGAGGAGACCCAGTGCTGTTCGAGAAAGGCCACCAAGAGGGCATACATGGGTGCAATGGTGCGACCAGAATGTTGCACCAGCTCCGCAAGATTTTCCATGGTTGACACGCGCAGTGGGGAGTCTACCCCATCCCGGGAAAACAGCCGAGTAAGCACACTCAACAGTGACAGCATGTAATGATCCAGACTCTGCAACGTCCCTGCCTCACGCAGGATGGCCACGGTTGCCCGTAGGCAGGCCCCTATCTCCTCACTGGTAAAGGTAAGCACACCATCGAGGGCTTCAAAAAAGGTACGGAGGAGTACACGCAGAATAATATCTGGCCATATTTGCTCCGTAAAATATATTCCTAGTCGGCCACCGAATTCTTTTTCTAGCAAAAACGTCTCCACATCAATCCGATACAAAAATGGTAGCCTGTGACTGTATTCTGGGTGCCCAATAAACAGCTTCGTGTCGCGGGCCTCTTCCTGTTGATGATAGGGCTCAATGGAGCTGATGGTGCCAAGCAGTTTCAGCACCGAAAGAGATAGTTCGGAACCAATAGATGGTTTCTGGCACAACAATGACTGTAAATTGACAACAAGTATCTGTAACCCGTTTGTGTCATAAAAGGGCTTTGCAACGACAAGGTACTGAACAAGCCTTTGCAGAGCTCCAATGGCCGCATGCAGGCGGTCCGCATCCCCGTCACGAAGCAGCAACTGCTCTGAAAGAAGCTCCAGTAGCGGCTCAAATTTATCCCCCTCCTCACGTGCACTTTCATCCATCAGGTACGAGAACATGTGAAGGGCGATAATCACTGTACCCCGCTCCGCTGCGTGGCATGGCAGCAGTATATGCTGCAGTAGCTGTAGGAGACGATCCAAGTGAAGCGGAATGGAGTATGGGACCGCCTGTACCAACTCAAAAAACAGTTGCAGTTGTTCTGCATCAATCTTCACCGTCGTAGACGTCACCCTCTCGCGTTGAGAGGAGAGAAATGTGCGCTCCTGGAAGTCGTGCAACATCTGCAAAAACAGTTTCCGAAGCCGTGGGTAAATGCCCGAGAATGAGTGCATTGAAACGCGGCGTAGAATGCGAACCACCTCCACCCGGTTAGGCAAATATTCGTCATTGAAGACGGAAAACAAAAGGTCCACCACTTCGACGTGTGTGCAGATAAATTGGTCCGTCTCAGGTGTGAGATTCTTGAGTGCCACATGGCGGATGGACTCCTCTGGATCGCATACGGCAACCTCCACGAGCCGATGCAAGACCTCACGCAAGGTGTTGATGTGTGATCGACCTGTATGTCTGTCACAGGTGGAAGCCACCTTGTTCTCCATCAACAGCGCCTCGGGTGGCAACGCCGGGCCGCGGTTCGTGTCAGTGTTGCTGGAATTACCCATCGTTGTCTCTGACATCCGCTTCGTCTGTGTCGTTGCAGTCGTGGGGGTTGTAGTAGTAGTAGGTGTGGTAGTAGGCGTAATGGCGGCAGACGCAGCCGTGGTAAAGCTACTCTGACGCAAAAAATGATTCCCTGTGTGTGTCGACCTGAACTCACGGCCCGCACCCAAACTCCGTGAGTTCATCATCGGATTGTCGACATGCATGGTGGCACACACCGCATTTGCGTCAGTGCCAGTCGGAAACGGGCATCGCGGTTTACACATCGTCCGCTGCATGCGTCCACCCACGGCTGCTCGTCTGCCTGCTTCCTGTGGCAGGGCACGAAAGCAGTCGGAGAGAAGCAGGTTCACGCACGAGAGAACGCACTCCCGACGCAGCGCAGCGTGACGATGCGACATATATGGCATGCACACCTCCATGAAAAAAAAAGCGGTCCCTTCCCACTCCATGCAAAACCCTTGCAGTACGCGAAAACACATAATCTTTTTCTCCAAGTTAAAAAAACTTGTGGCAAGTTGCGTGGTTGTGTCGTCACAGCCCTTCAGCAACATGTCTGCACTTGTTCGCCTACCACCGCGCTTTGCAGCCGCCTCACCTGCCTGAGAGCCACACGGGGCAGCACTTTCGGTAAGAACCTCGGCAATGCGCTGCAAAAGTGCGGTTTGACACCTTGGCTGTAGCTCCGGATAAACGTCGCACACCTTCGCAGCTACGCTCGTCATTTCTGTAGTGAATGGGGCGGAGAGAGCCATCTCCGTCAGCTGCTTCACAATCGGCTGGAAACGCTCAAGAAGCTCCACAGGAATATTGTGTACCAGCAAGGCAAGAACAGGAAAAGCGGTGGGGCAGTAGGCTGGTGTGTCGTACTGCAACGCACAGAAGAGAATGGGATAAACCTGCCGCATAACGGCCACCTGAAAAATGTCAGCGTGGGAGCTGGCAATGGCGGCGAGAAAAAGCCCAATATTGATCAGCGCAAGACTATGAAGGTCATTCCCACATCCCGCCGCTACCCCAGATGCAAGCTGATGTATGTCTTCACCAACACCACCACACGGGTGGACTTCAACGGGCTCGCGAAAGACTGAAACAGCACGACCAATAAGTAAACGCAGCGCCATTTTCACGTCATCGCTCGTCAGGCTACGTGGGCTGTAAAGGGCCAGAATAGGCAGTAAGCGCTCTGTATACAGTGAAGAAGGAAAAGAGGTCGACTGTGGCAACGCATGCGTCGAGTCGTGTGTACCGCATGCGTAGCAAAGTGCCAGCAACCTGCGCAGTGTAAAAAAGGGAAGGAAGCTCTCCAATTCCGCCGACTTACGGCTGCTGACACCCAAGTGGATTGATGGTCGTCGAGATTGTCGCTCGCTAAACTCCGTATGACGCAGTTTCTGATGGGAATGCTGCTGATGAGAATGGGGCGGAAAGGGAGAGTGATGCCGGGAATGCCGGGGGTGGAGTGGCACGTGCTGCGTCGAGGCAGAACCCAGCGAAGAGGATAATGCCTCCACCGCCATTCTTCCTCCTTCGCCTCCAGGCGTATCTAAGGCGGCCGCCGCCGTCCGCACTGCCGTTGCAGAAGCAGCTGCTGCTGTGCTTGCCCTTCCTGACTTGGGTGAACCACGGTAGAATGATGCGGGCGTATGTTTCGGAGACTGAAGCAACGCACGTCGATTCCACAGCATACCAGGCATCGCCAACGGACGGGGCTCCTCGGAAATAGAGCTGCGAAGACTAAGCCACCCTTCAGCTTCATCATCATCATCATCATTATCATCATTATCATCATCATCATCATCATCATCATCATCGTCATCTTCCTCCACCTGACGGGCATTCTCTTCCTGGAGGCGGCGTGCACGTGCCAAAGAGTTGTCCATCCCGCTCCTAGGCGGTATGTTTTCCATGTTATCTCCCTCCACACCCAGCGGTAGATCAGAGGTGCGGTGTTCAGGAGACACTTCCTTTCTTCCACTGCGAACGCTCGTAACACATGAAGAATGCGAGCTCGAGAGCTTTTTCCGTGAGGGGCTCTTTTCGCTCGCATTACCCTCGGGAGTTGTCACTGTTGCAGCAATCACTGTTGCAGTTCCACGTGTGGTGTGTTGCGGCCCCGCAGCCTCCGCAGCTGTTGCGTGTTCGCCTGAAGGGTCAACCACGGAGTACTCCCAGTAGGGGAAGCAGAAACGCATAGCACACACAAAGGCGCCCACGACGAGTGTTCCAGCATGGAGAGCGGTCTCACTGCTTTGCGGGTGTGGGATTTGTGAGAGGCGGTGCTGCAGCTTCCGCCGCGTCGCACACAAGGCACCGCCCTGCCTGCAGGCCGTAAATACTGGCAGCGTTGAACACGAGGCGGGAGATAGAACCGAAACTCTATCCAGAGTTGCCGTTGTGGCGTCTCGTGCACATACACCTGTGTTAACTGATGCGTTTAGCGTGTTACTCATCGAGCAGCGGCGTCCAGAACCACCAAAAAGACGTTGACCAAATGCTGTAATTTTCCGCTTAAGATGACCAAAGAACTGCAAGGACGCATCCGCCGTGCCTTTGTTGATCTCACCCTCACCGCTTTGGTGGCCCCCACCCCGCTGCGTCGGTAACGCCAAGGACGGCACACACTGTGGTGGATGCCCAGCCTGGGGGGGGATGGAACTCGTGCAGTCCCTCGCCTCCAATCTGGTATGGTGAGAGCGAGGAAAGCGAAAACGAACTCGGCAGCTCCACACCCCGCTCAGAAATGTGTAAGAGGGCAAGAGCCTGTTGAAGTACGGTGTTGACAGAGCGGTAGTTTCGTTGCTTCAGGGCAATAACAAATAACGCACGTAGTGTCTCCGCCGCAAGTTCTCGAATAAAGTAAGGAGATTCATCGTTCGGTATCGCCGTCCACGTTGCTAGGAGAAGGGAGTCCTGCTCATTTGAGAGGAGGGCGCGGTAGAGAGACATTGGCCACAGCGCCACGTGACGAATGATGATAAGACCTGAGAGTTTCGCCGCCAAAGTATCGTCGTAGTGCAGAAAGTCACAGGCCAGCGAAAGAAGCTCAGAGGTGACTTTAAGGTACACTGAGGAACTCGCCTCAATGACGTGTAACTGACCCCACACCTCCATGGCAAGTGTGACTATAGAAACGCTGGCTAACGGCAAACATGTGCGAAGATGGTTAAATAAAATTGTAACACGCTCATTTTTGCTTGCAAATCGCCAACCGATGGCCCGCATAATGATGTGTAGCACCAGGGCGCGCTCGCCGTGACTCACAAGGTCACGCAAAAGGATGTTGAGTCTATTGACAATTGCATCACGTTGATCACTTGGTCCTGTGGTCACACTGGACGCGGTGGCAGAAACAGATTCCGAATTCAACGCTCTTTTGCCAAGCAGGGTGCAGGCAGTGGCGGCGGAGCCCCGCTCCTGCACAAAGGAGCGATTGTACTGCTCAATTAGCGTCGCCAGTGCATTAAGTCCCCTCTGATAATTCGGTTCCAGCGCCTCGTAGGAGGCCCCGCCATCCGTCAATGGGAGCTGCTGGTAATTGGCAAATACGTCTATCATCTCTGAAGAGTGGTGGCGGTCCGAGTACGCACCCGTGTGAGAAAAAGGCGCGGAACGATGACTACCTAATAAAAGGGCACTTCCAGATGCCTTCGCTGCATTTCCAGTGGTGTAGTTATCCGCTTGATGCCGCTCGTGTGTCACAGAACGATGCGCCCTAAGTATCATGCCACCCTCTCGCACAATTCTTCTTGTGTGACGCCACATTGACGCGTACCCTAATGATGCCGTTCGCATCCTCGGTATTGCGGATGATGACGACACACCAGATGGTGCACCCAGAAACGTGTGTGTGGCGGAAGAAGCAGCTGTGCTTGCCATGGCCAACTCACCGAAATACTGCAGCAATGGCGGAAAAAAGTGGGCGTCGTCGTGGGCCACAAACTGCCCCATACGTCGCTTATTACGACTATTGTACTGACCGCCACACGCCTCGTGTCCGCCCACCCCCTCCTCCTCCCACGCAGACGGCAGCGCCGTCGCGCTTTCAGCTATCCCTCGCACACCTCCCCTCGATGCACCTCTGGGGCCGCTGCTATTGCCGCTCGCGCCATCGCGGCGGCAGGGCTCGTGTGCCGAGAGAAGACTAGAGGGAGTAAAAAACTCCCGCGCCAGCGCGTCTAACCGTGCCGCCATTCAGCCAACGGCGAGTAGTCACACAAAACGTTAGCACCAAAAACAAAGCAATAAGACCAAACAAAAAGAAAACGGACGTTTTCTACCACTTCACTGCTAAACGAAAAAAAAAAAAAACTTTTTTACGGCCAACAAACACTGCCGGATTGTCCTGCGTTACAAAACACACGTTCAGGCCAAACAGAAGGAAGGCCTCCCCCCTGCAGCGACGCGAGTTGATGAGGAGGCAGAGCACAAGACACGCAACTGCCGCCCCTGCCTCGTATCTACTTTTTTTTTGTTTTATTTGTTTGTTTCTTTGTTTGCAACCTCTCCCTTTTCGTCGACGCCGTCGCGGTCCTGCGAGGACTTAGCGCAAGAAGCGGGAAGCAGAGGGGGAGAGTGCGCTCCACGGGCAGAAGCAAAGCACGAACCACACACGGTCCCTGCAGGAGCACCTGCTGCAGCGCCAAAAAATGCGGGTGTGGGCCTCCCTCCTGTTACGGCTTTATCCCTCCTTCCTCCTTTTCTGTAGGATGTTTGTGTGGTTCGTCACGCCTCCGTGGGAAATGTTTTATCGCCGCTGTTGTATCCCTGCGTCACGTTTTATGAATCAATATTTACAGATGTGAATACACTTCCCTCACTCACTGTATGTATAAGAGTGGGTTATCCTTCCTTTACGGTCCGGTTAATGTTGCAGGCTTCGTTTTTCCACCAAATGTGTGATACCGCCAGGGAAGCAAGAAAAAAGCGTAAAAAAACATTACCCACGCAAAAACCCATGAGATGGCAGCTCGGGCGCAGCACAACAGAACTTACAAGGTAGGAAGGCTCATATGCACCTGGAAAAAACACATAAATGTCACGCGTAAATCAATCCCTGTACAATTTGCCGCACACATACAAATAATACACATACACACGTGCATCGCACGCAAAAACACTTCACCTGTTGAGTCCTATTACCATCTTAGCTGGCCACACCCATCCGATCCTCGCAGCACTGTCCTGGTCCCCGCGTCTCCTGTTCTCTTCCCCGCGTTACCCGCCTCGCAGGCACACCCAAAAGAGGCAGGGTAAAGCATGGAGGAGACGCGGCCTCAGCGACTGTGTACATCCCCATTAGCTGCTCCGTGTAACTGTATCATCTCTTTTTATGTTGTTGTGGTCGTTTTTGTCGTCAACGACGCCTCCAGGTCCGCCACTTGCTCTGCGTAGCGTGCGATACTGCGGTAGTGCTCCTGTAGGTCGCTAGATATGTGGTGTTGCAGCCAATTGTAGTGGCGTGCGCAGCACATCACTGCCGCCACCACACCAACGGCAAAGTACTTTGAGAAGAATGCCACACGCACCTCACTCATTGCAGATGTGCCCACACTATTCCCACACACACACACACACACAGACACAAACGCACCGTCGACCCCCCACGTCGCCTCTCCCTCACCGTCTCTCTGTGTGTGGGTGTGTTTCGTGTGAGTCTCCTTCCGTGTGCAAGCAGTTCCGCACCACAGGCACTGAGCTCAGCGCAACTCACTTGTCTTTTGGTTGGTTAGCCACTGCATGCACCGCGAGGTAAATCCGAAAGAGAGAAAAAAAAAAGGCAAAACAGCTGGAATTGCTTCACACCGGTTGAAGCAATGCAAGACGAGCAGCGCAGCGAAGTGAGGACGGTGACAGGCACAAGAAAAAGCAAAATAATAATAATAATAATAAACGGTTGTAGGAAGAGAATATATATATATATATATATATTCACGCCGACAAAGCCAATGCGAGGGACAAAGTTAAATAACAACTTAATTCGTCCTCGCTATCTTAGTTAGCTTGTTTTTTTTTCCCCCTGTTTTTTTTTCTGTTTTTTTTTTATGGAGTTTTGTTTTCCTCTCGCCCCCAGACTGAAGCACGCACACACACAGAGAGAGAGACAAGAAGAGAAAGGCATAGAGATACAGATAAATATCTCCATTCATCTCCGAATTGATGACTATCTGTGTGCAGGTCTCTACGCAGGTGTACGCATGCGGTTCTAAAGTAAGAGAAAAATGACCGCAATAACAAAATATTGTTGTTGTTGTTGCAGCGGCGGATCTCTCTTTTTACTGAGTCTCCTTTTTATGGAAGGTGAAACACAACATCGCGGGATCGAATGGATACTCGATGCGGGCGTGATAACCC